ATGGTTGGAATGGTACTTTCCTGTGCTCCAAACTCTCGTGCTGACGATCTAGCCTACAAGTTGACGGCACATGGAGAGAGTCGTCCTGAGACAGGGTTGAGTGAGGATATATGGTGAGCTCTAAATCGAATTGGACCATGGTTCTCTACAAGGGAAAAGAATTAAAGATTCTCCCACTGTTGTGAAGGACACACAGCAAGGAGGTTGCCATGAGAACAAAAGAAGGAGGCTTTCATCAGAAACTGAGTCTCCTGGCACCTTGATTTTGGCTTCTGAGTCTTCAGGGCTGAGAGCAAAAGTAAATTTCTGTCACATCAGCCACCCACTCTGGCGTTTTGTTTTGACGGTCTGAATCCTACGCCTTCCTGTTCCTCTTAACTTACATTTAAAGTGTGTATCTCCAGCTCTTGTGTATTGCTAAATCCAGTGGTTAATGCTCAGGTCTCAGTGTCCTGGTTCATCAATAGTGTTGAGGGAGATGTCTTCCAGGTGAAACTTCCTTTGTGAGGCTCCCAGAGAAAAAGTCTCTTACCCCTTGCGCACTCAGAAAAGAGTCCCTTACCCCTTGCGCACTCAGAAAAGAGTCCCTTACCCCTTGTGCACTCTGAGAAGAGAGTCCCTTACCCCTTGCGCATTCTGAGAAAAGAGACTCTTACCCCTTCCGCACTCAGAAAAGTCTCTTACCCCTTGCACACTCTGAGAAAAGAGTCCCTTACCCCTTGCACACTCTGAGAAAAGAGTCTCTTACCCCTTCCGCACTCTGTTTCCTGCTTTCTTGTCCCATGTTCCTGTGTTATTTCAGTTTGCCAAGAACTTGCTCTGAAGTCCCACATTCTCGGAAACTATTCATTGATGAAATAGTTGATATGCATCTCTGAAGGTTGAAAGAAGACCTTTCTGTCACACAGGACGCAGCAAGGAAGTGGCTGTCCGCACATGGTCCTCATCTGAAACAGCTCTGCCAGCAGTGCCTTGACTGTGAGCTCCCGAGTGCAACAGTTGATGTTTATTTACCACCGGGATGAATTTCCCCATCCTAAAGGCTGCACATCCCCAGTCTTCTTCCCAATTAACTGCTTCCTCACACGGTCTCCTCCATTGCAGCTTTTCATGTTGCTCACATACAACCTTAGGAATCCTCTTTGACCTCTGTATCCTACCCCCCTGTTCTCCTCACTTTCAAAGTTACTCACTTTGGTCTTTTCTTATGCCCTCCAATCCACAGTGAGTATTCTTCTGAATATTATGTCTTTCTAAAATAAAGTTTGCCTCTACCAAAGTACCCACCAGTAATTCTGAGTAAAATAGCTGTGTTGTTAAAGCCAAGGCTGAACATGAACCACACCATATGTTTGCACATGTGCTCGTGATAGCAAGGTAATAGGAGTAGTCCAGGTGTTAGTCAACAGATGAACGGGTACACTCCGCACAATTTTATGTGGCTGTAAAGAAAATGGAAAGATTTAGGAAAATGGGTATGGTTATAATCATTATACTAAGTGAAATAACTCAGAAAGACAGACACTCCATTTCTTTCACATGTGGAGACAAGATTTTAAGTTATCCATGCACCTGTGTATATTCATATATGTACATATGTATATGTCATGAAACTAGAAAGGGGAGCATGAAAAGGGAGATAGAATCTTTGTTTTTGTAAATTGATATTTTAAAACATTTATTTGCTCTGTGTGTGTGTGTGCACACACATGTACCACCAGTGTGTGTGTGTGTGTGTGTGTGCACATGTGCCACCATATACACTGGGTGGTCAGAGGACAATTTGGGAGAGTCAGTTCTCCCATCATGTTGGTTCTAGGAACAAACTCAGATCACATGCTGGACACCAAACACCTTTACCTCCTGATCATCTTGCCAGCTTGGGAAGGATCTTACGGGAAGGGGTAAGTAGAGTAATGGAATATGTATACAAGAAAGCAGAATGGGGGAGTGTCTAAGGAAAGGAGACGAACCAACCAGAAAGGCACATGGGGCATAAGGGAGAGCAGAAGGGAAAGGGAGCACATAAAGACAAGTTATAATAATACACATCTATGAAAAGGCCATAATAGAATGTACTACTCGGTATTCCAACCTAAACATTAAGACTACCTGTTTGAGGCGGCTGGGTAGGAGTAATTTACAGAGGATGAATACAGTCGAAGTACAACATATACTTGCAAGAAAATGTCCTGGTGAAACTCACCATTTGTGCAATAAATACATACTAATTAAAAATGGGGAGGGCAGGTGTGGCAGCACACACTTATGATAGCAGCACTGGGGAGGGAGAGAAAAGACAAAGACAGACTACAGTGGCTTGAAAGAGAATGGCCCCCAAAGGGAGGGGCACTAATGGGAGGTGTGACCTTGTTGGAGTACATATAGTCTTTTTGGAGGAAGTGTGTCACTATGGGGTGGGCTTTGAGTCTCCTATCCTCAAGCTACACCCAGTGACACAGTTTACTTCCTGTTACCTGCATTTTAAGATGTAAAACTCTAAGCTCCTTCTCCAGTATCATGTCTGTCTGCACACCATCATGTCCCACCATGATGACAATGGAATGAACCTCTGAACTGTGAGTCACTCAATTAAATGTTTTCCCTTATAAACATTGCCATAGTCATGGTGTCTCTTCACAGCAATAGAAACTCTAACTAAGACAAGTTGGCACCAGGGATTGGGGTATTGTTGGGAAACGTTTGACTAGGTTTTTGTTTAGAAGAATTTTGGCTTTAGGAGTTTGGGTTATGAAAGCAGTGAATGCTTAAGCACTGTTTAGTGGAGCATACTAGTAGGAACATGGAAGACAGTGGTGCTGATAATGGTTTGAACTGTCAGGGGCTAGCTCAAGAGGTTCAGAGGAGAAGAAATGTAATATGTTGCCTAGAAATCATTCTTGTTATCTTTTGGTGAAGAATGCAACTACTTTTTGCCCTTGTCTGGAAGGTTTACAAGAGGCTAAAGTGAAGAGTTTTGGATTAAATCCCTTGGCAGAGGAAATCTCAAAAAAGCTTGGTATAGACTCTGTTTTGTGGTTACTAGTGTTAACTCTAATGAAGATATATAATGAAAAGGAGAAAGTTGAGCAGGAAAAGTATTTGAGGAGAAAAAGAGCACCAGAAAGTGGAGTGGTGATTGGTCTTGTGTTCAAGGAGATAAAAAAAATTAAGAAATGGAATAAATGGAGTGGTGACCTCAGGGCAAGATCCCACCCAGCTAAGTTTCCAATTTGGGGAAAGGAACTGAAGAAAAGTTTAGAGCTGGGAGTGGTGGTGCATGCCTGTAATATCAACACTCAGGAGGCAGAGTCTGACAGACTCTGAGTTTGAGGCCAGCCTGGTGTACAGGTCTAGTTTCAGGACAGCCAAGCTTAGGCAGTGAAGAACAGAAAGCTGATGAAGATGTAGCTGAACAAGGGGGCCATTTTCTAGCCCCAGCATGCAGCAGAACTTGGAAGCCTTGGCCATTTGGTGGAGGCTTTAGAGTTAAAGACAGAAGGGTCTGTGGAATTTGCCTCTGAGACTAATGAAAGCCACTGAGGGCCAGGCATGTGTCAGCGGTAACCCTGAATGGAGGCCTAGAGAGGTCATTGTGTGAAGCTGTGAAGTAAGTCTGGATTTCCTTGAAGACCCCAAGATGTTGGAGTTGCCAGAGCTGTGGGATACCTGCTGAGGAGAGCTGTTAGCAGGGCGTGAAAACAGCCCAAGAGAGAGAAGTGTGTTGCAGTCAATAGAGATGAAAGGAGTTGGAGATCTGAAGAGCATTTTAACATCAGACATGCAGGTCCAGAGTTTAGAGTTTTCCCGCCTGGTTTTCAATCTTGCTTTGGCCTAGTATTTCCTCCCTATTCTTCCTTCTATATGTTTTGGAATGGTAACATGTATCTTATGCCATTACATGTTGGAAGTATGTGATCTTTTTATTTTAATTTTATAGATGATTAAAGATAAGAGATTGTTGAATCTCAGAAGAGACTTTGAACTTTAGACTTTTAAATACTTTTAAGACTATTGTAGACTATGGGAACCTTTGAAGATGGACTGAGTGCATTTTTGCTTTATGATATGGCTTCAAGCCTTTGGGGGCCAGGGACTGGAATATGGTCGTTTGAAAGAAAATGGCCTCCAAAGGGAGGGTCACTAATGGGAGGTGTGGCCTTGTTGGAGTAGGTGTGGATTTGTTGGAGGAAGTATGTCTCTGTGAGGGTGGGCTTTGAGGTCTCCTATGCTCAAGCTACACCCAATGAGACAGTTTACTTCCTGTTGCCTTCATATTAAGATGTTGAACTCTCAGCTCCTTCTCCAGCACCTTGTCTGCCTGCATTCCTCCATGTTCCTCCATGATGACAATGGACTGAACCTTTGAACTGTAAGATAATCAATTAAATATTTTCCTTTATCAACATTGCCATGGTCATGGTGATCTTTACAGCAATAGAAACCCTAACTAAGACACTGGCCATGAAGGTTCTGTACTTCAAGTTTGTCATGTTGCTCATAAGTAAAGAATGGAGCTTCCCTAGACTTTCCAGCCTCTCTGGGGCTGTGCCATAGGGTCTGCCCATGGCTCTTGGCTCTGTCTCTGGCTTGCTTTACTCCAGCCACAGTTGCCACTTTATAATTTTTGACTTTACCAACATGGCCTTTAAGCTTCACCTGCCTCTTAAATACCTCTTAGATAAACTCCCTGCTCAGGCTTGGTTTTTTTTTTCTGGTATGTATTGAATGTCACTTTCTTCTTGTGTGTACTAAATGTTACTTGCCTGGCTATCTAAAATCAAAGTTTCCTCCATATAAACTATTGCTATTACTATTGCTTACTATTTTCTACTAGAAATGACATCTATCTGTCTATCTTCTATCTATCTATCTATCTATCATCTATCTATCATCTATCTATCCATCTATCTATTATCTATCATCTTTCTATCTATCCATCATCTATCTTATATATCAGTATAATCATATGCTGATTATTTACTGTGTAATAATCTAAGTTCTATAGGACCAAATGATCCTGTTTGGTGTACTGCCTTGCTTCGGAGCCTCAAGTGGTATCTGGCACACGGTAGGTGCTCCCTTAATATGTTAAACTAAATAATTACTTTTTTTTCAGTGCTGAGGATAGAGCCAAAGAGTCAGGCATACTAAACATTTTATCAAAACTGGGCTATAAACACAGGCTCTCAAGAATGTTTAGATGGATAAACTAAGTGAAGAAAACAGTGAGAGAATTCTGCTGAGTTATAAACTTCAGGAGGCAGGTGAGTGTGATGTGATTTGTGAAGTGACTGTAGTGTGACTTGTGAAGGGTTTGGCATTTTAGTTACCTGAAAAATGACAAAAACCTTTCCCATTAGAGAAAGTTTGTGATCTCTGATGGAGAAAGCTCAGCCCCTTTCAGGAGCTCCAGTATTTAGAAGACAATGCTGAAAATACAAGTGGTTATGGAATGCAGAGGAGGCATACATGTCTGCTAGTTCTGCGAGTCATGGCTCCTATTTCATTTTATAATTTCAGTCATATAATTATTGAATTGGTATTTTGTCACTGATTCTAAGAAATTTCATGAGATTATGCATTTAGTTAAAACAGCAAGCAACAAACAAAAGAAGAAATGGAGACTTAGATGTCCCTAATGTCTGAGTGTCACTCACAGTGTTGTCTGACCCTTCTCTCAAACAAACAAACAAACAAACAAAATAGCTCCAAGAACCTTTTGTGTGTGGTAGGTGAGGCATTCTTATCGCTTAGCCTCTTCCATTGACAATTAGGACGAGAGAAGATTCCCCTCCCCATTAACTTGCTTGTCTCATTCTATCCCAGCCTGACTTTCTCCTGCTGTCTGCTAGAAAGCTCTTATCTGCTATGCATAGACTTTGCACATGACAAAGGATGACATCTTAGTTCAGGCATCTGAGATGTTAGTGAGCAAAAGTGAGGAGGACGTGTAGGGATGCAGGCACCAGTCCAGGAGTTTCAGTCCAAGCTTCTTGTCAGAGATCCAAGGGTCACACACTGAAAACCTCAAATGGAGGAGCTTCTAGAAGCGAATTTTGGTCATGGGATGACTTTGGTATCCCTAACATTGTTAAATGTTACTGGAAAAGCATCACTCTAACCCTTCTTTGTGTGCTACAGATCCTGAAGTGAACTTTCTAGTACTCTGGCCAGCATTGGTGGTGCTTTCTGCATTCAAGACATCCACTGCAGGTCTGAATTATCACCTGCCCCTCTCCCAGGGCCTAGCCACACCCTCTGGGAAATGTGCCCCCAGGTGCCAACCAGCAATTTGCTATTGCTCTTTCCTTCAGCCTTTGCTGGGCTCTCTTCCTGTTCTCTGCTTTTCTACTCTTCTTCTTCTTTTTTGAACAAAGAACTTCTCTTCCAAACAGTAACTGCCGTGAAGCTGCTGTGGTAAACCCCACTGCTGTCCCTTCTCTTCCATGACTCTCCACACGGCTTTGACTACAACACCAGCTAAACATCTTGGTTAACCAACACACTGAAATACAGAATTTGATAACTTTTGATGAAATAAAAGTGCCAAGGGGAAAATTGTCAGAGGAACCTAATTAATGTTAGTAGCTACATCTACTAACATTACATGTACAGACATTTACATTTGCACACAGCATCAAACAAAGGACTAAGTTAACAAATCCTACATGACAGGCAGTGAGAAGTCAGTCCCTCACCACTGGAGTAGCAACTTTGCCACAGAGCCTAAAGGCTTTTAGCCAGGCGATTAGGAAGCCTGTGCCTGTGTATAAATTAGTGTATAGAATCTCTATGACACTGGCTGCAGATGACTGAAAAGAGCTCTTTATTTCTGCATGTTTCTTGCTGAGTCAGATGCCCCAAGCATACTTCTAGATTCACCTGAAAGTCTCTGACCCCCAATAGTGGCAGCCCAAGGGACAAGCTGGTTATGGACAGCCCTCCCAACTTGCTGCTCTCAGGAACTCCAGGAACTTGTTTTTGTTGAATCATAACACTGGTGGCCCCAACTATTAAGCTTAAAGCAGTTCTAAGGTCACCACAAATAGCTGTTTGAAAAGCATAAAAATAGGTTCCAATTTTGAAATCAATGAATGCACTTTTGTCCCCAGACAGCTATACATTTAGCCAAATGCCTCTAGGACAGATCTGAATATTTTATGTGCTCTGTCTTATCAATAGAAAAAGCCCTGGAGAGTGTTCCTGTGCTATTGGAATACCCCTGTTCCCATTAGCAAAGCTCATGAAATTTTATTCTCTGCAAGATGGATTCCTGCATAACCTTCTCTTCCAAAGGAAGAATAGTTTCAGAATACATCTTTCTTTTCTTTACTGAGGACAATTTAATTTAATGAAACAATAACTGTTATGATTCTGCACATGAGGGACCATGGGAGGCTGAGTCCAAACCACAACAGATGAGGGACAAATACACTATGCAGACTGAGCTTGAGTGGGAAATTTTATGTGGGGGAAGGGAAGGGAGAGAGGGAAAGGGAGCACAGAGTGGCCTCCTGGGATGAGGGGAGAGAGAGAGAGGGAGGGGAGAGAGGGGGAGAGAGAGAGGAAGGGTGGCAGGGAGAGAGAGAGGAAGGGGAGGGAGGAAGAGAGAAGGAGGGGAGGGAGGGAGAGAGAGTTAAATGAAGGGAGAGGAAGAAGAGAAAGGAGGAGGTGGAGTCCTGCCTTTTAAAAGGACCACAGCCAGGGTATTGCCTGTCATTCAAACAGGGGTGATGCACTCAGCCAGGTCCCCAATGGGCAGGGCCAGGTGTGCTTGGATGCTAACAATAACAATAGAATAAAAAAATCATAACATAATAAGAAGGTACTGACTGTCAAGATAGAGAATGAAAAGCAATTATGCATAGTAAAATATGTTTATTATGATTCCATTGTTTGGTTCATTGTATGTTCATATGAGTGTGAACATGTATGCAAGGATGCACAAGCAATGTGAAAAATGGGATGTGACCAGGAATATTTCCTTATGACCTTTTGAGTTATTCCACATTTTTTTGCCAACAGCATGTATAATTTCTATGTTTAAAAATTTTTAATACAAATGGTTATCAGAGTCTTTAAGATATTTCAATGTAATTGAAGAATCTGAATTTATAAATAAAATTTCCACCTTATTAAAAATGTTTTATATTTGTCAGGACATAGCTTTATGGTCACAATTTCTTTATTTTGTGTATGATTATTTTGCCTGCATGAATGTCTATGTACTGGGAACTAAACCTGGGTTTTCTGCAAGAGTAACATGTACTCTTAGCCTCTGAGCAATCCCTCAAGCCCCAATTTTGAGGTCAGCCTGGACTACAGAGTGAGTTCTAAGACAGCCAGAGCTACACAGAGAAACCCTCTCTCAAAAGAACCAGCCACCACCACCACCACCATCAAACAAACAAACAAAGTTTCAGCATGATGCTTTAGTACAACTGTCATCGATTCTGGCACTATTTTAAAAATCAAAGTAAAAATAATTTTATCAGTGTATTGTTCCTTAGAAATTTGATTGAGTTCTTTCCAAGACATTATTTAACCATTTTTTGATGGTTTCATTTTGACATTTTTACATACGTGTAATGTACTTCGACATAGAAACATCTAAGCCACAAGGACAATGGTTGGGAAAAGTACAATGTCTTGCTTGAATGCCTTTCAATAAGCAAGTCATTTTCTGTGTGTGCATTTTAATGTGTTTACAGCAGTTCAATGTGCATACTGTTCCATTTCATAGGAACAAAGGGAAGAAATTGTCAGTCTGAAAAAAGTCTATGAACATTCCTTACAAGGCCTTTCCATCGCGTTCTCTCCATTTCTTCTTCGTCTCCCCTTCCCTTCCCTTCTTTCTGGTGCTTCTGCTCATGTCCAGTCACCTGTGCTCGGAAGACTTCTGTTCCCCAATGAACAATGCAATCAGCTGCTCCTTCTTTCTGTGCCCAGGAGTCATGACACTTTGACAGAGGAACTTCTGTTAGTCACATAGGCATTTCGGGTGTATCGGGTGGAACAGGTATTCTGGCACTCGGGAGTCGCAGAACACTGAGTGTTACACAGCTCAGATGGAACGGTATCCTGGAGCTTGGGAGCCAAGGACCACCACAGGCCCCAGTAAGCCAAGCAGCTTACAGCTCTGCCTCAGGGAAAGGCTTCCCCAGTGTATCGGCTCTGCTCCTGTAGGAGAAGGTCTTTCAGCTGGGGATGTTTGCCTAGTGTAGCAGTTTTGCTGCGGCAGGAGGTTTCTGAGTGAAGTTGCTACAATTCAGCTCTGCTCTGGGAGATGGGAGATGGAGAGCTGAGTGTAACAACTCCCCTCTGCCAGGGGAAGGTTTCCCCGGCAAAAGTGTTACAGCCCTGCTCGTTCTGCTCTGCTCAGGGTGGTCTCTGCTCTGCTGCAAAAGAAGGTCTTCACCCAAGGCTCATCGAAGGGGTTTGTTGGGAGGAAGAATCCAGGAGAGTGGCTGCCCTCTGCAGAGTAGCAGAGGACAGCCCGGTAGCATGAACAGCCACAAGCTGAACAGACACAGGGTTTATATAGGGCTTCCAGGGTGGGGATTGGTCAGAATTCAATGCTGAGCTCACCTTGACTAGAGCTCCTGCTCGAGGATTGGTTAGTTTTCTGCACAGGGTTAGGGTAAGATTTGGGTCTGGTTTCAGGGCCAAAGTGTGTTTCTTTCCCTGGTCCTTTTTAGCCTTTTGGCTTTAGTTTTAGGGCTGGGGTGCATTTCTTTGGTTCTGTTTGCAGGGCTAAAGTGTGTTTCTTTGGCTCTGCTCAGGGTGTGTTTCTTTGGCTGGACCTTTTTCCCTACAGGCTCTTGTAACACGAGAATTATCTGCTATATTGAAAATATTTTTGAGACTAAAATAGAATGTTATTTCAAAATAACTTGGGGCAACTAAAACATACTTATAATTTTCTTATATGTTAAATGTTACATTTGTTTTTGCTTGTATGAATGCATATGTAATTTTACATGATAGCATAATTATGATATCAAAGAGCTGCCAGAAAGATTAATATCTTGAGTATGTAAAAATCTATACCAATAAATGAACAAAGGGGTATTTGAAGTGATTGCCTTTGAAATAATCAGTGCACACACTAATTTTTTATTAAATATTCTTTTTATTTTTTGAGAATTTCATACATGTATACCCTTTATTTCTGTTGTGTTCACTCTCCACTCTCCCCCAGACTCTATTAGAGCCCCTCAAACCCTCCTCCGTGTGCCCTCTCCACTTCATTTTTCCTTTTTTAAAAATAGCCCAGCGAACCCAATCAGGACCGCCCATCTAAGAGTGGGTGTGGCCATCCCGGAAGCACGGTCAATGCACCAGGGACCGCAGCTCTGAAGAAAAGCACCTGCCCTTGGCAACTCTTAGCTGTCAGGAACTAGGGATGGGGGCTTATGTGGCCTCCCCTAGCCATGCTGGGGTACTGATTGGCTTGACTCTGTGCAGCTCTTGTGCAGGCAGCCATAACTGCTGTGAGTTCATGGTGCCGTGGTCCCGCCCCGCCCAGAGACGCTGTTTCACCCAGTCCTCCCAGGCTGCTACAGTCTTCTGTCCCTCCTCCCGGGCTCTGGCTGGCTCAGTCTTTCTGCCCCTCTTTCGCTCACGTTCTTTGGCCCTTTGGGTGAAGGCGCATGATACAGGTGTGCCATTTGTGGCTGAGCACTCTGCAGACACTTGCTCTCTGCTGACATTCATTCTCTGTACTGCTCCTAGTTGTAAGTCTGTGTATCAACCGTGATTTGCTGTACAAACACGGCTCTCTGCTGTGAACTGAGAGCTGTGGTAATTCGTAAGTGCAAAGACATATTTAGAAGGCAGTTTGGCAGCATGTCCATTTACCAAAATTGTGAGTTCGACCTAGAGCCTGCGGGTTCCTCCTCCTCATGTTCTCAGCCAGATTTAAAGCACCAGGAGTGAGTTTCCTCCTGTCCAGTGGGCTTTCAATCTAATTAGAAAACAGACGGACACTGTTTTACCCCTGGGCATGTTGGGCAGACCAGTCACTGTAGCTTGCAAGGTTCACAGCTGCGCGGAGCTGTTGGAGATTCTCCGTCAACAGCCAGGGTAGCCCTTTGCTATTATGAAAGTGAGCCAGCAGGAAGGAAATTTCCAGGACATTACCGGCTTGAGTCCTGTCCTACAACTCAAAGTGTAATGAGTACAGCAACACCCTGCACTGTTCTGAGTTTTGGAGTGATAATTTTGGGAATAAGCACTGAACACATGTACTATTTTTTTATTATACTATTTATTCCTTAAAAAATGTTATACATGCACACTGTTTCTATTGATTCTCATGGATCTTCTAAGCACCAACTTGAGGGGAAGTAGCCCACATTTGACATTGGGATTTTTATTTGGCAACACACAGCTTCACAATGTGGCATATTACTAAGGTTAAATGAAAAAAAATCTGAGCACAAAGTCAGATGTGTGAAATGATCCAAGCTGTCTATATATACACACAGACATGCTTATAGAAAAAGGCTAGGAAGTAGTATATCAGAATTGAAATTATATAATGAGA